AATGCTCTTCTTTTAAGAGCATCTATACAGTTTCCTGTCTCATAAAAAAAGAACATCCCCCCGCCAAATAAAAATGAAAGCCTCAAATTTCTGTACTGTTATATAATTTTTCATCCTCAGTTTCCTCTTGAATGCCCTATGGAATCTAAGACATCCTGTGGAACATTGAAAAGTCCCCCATGCAAAGGACTGCTACCAACCTCCTTGAATCTGAATATGTCCAAGTTCAAACAGCACCTCAGAGAAGTGGAGCAAGAACTTAGCACCAAAGGGATATGAGTGCTTCTTACCAGAGACATGAGTCAGATTTTTGCTTCCAATTTCCTTTCCTAGAAGCAGTCCTCGTGTAGCACTGTAGAATAAGGACTAAACTGATAATGACAAGGTTGCTGGTTCAAACCCACCAACTGCTTATTGGAAACTCTATACAGGATGCTCTGAGTTGGAACTGAATGGATGGTAAGAAGAAACTTCTCAGTGACTCCCCATTGACTATCAAACAAAAGCAAACTTCCCTATTAAATTCATAGCCTCACTCTGGTGGTCCAATCTATATTCTGGTATTCATTTGTCACAATTACCCTCCTCCAATCTGTGCAATGGAATTCTGGTGTGGCGCTGTGGGTTAATGCACCAGACTGGAAAGCCATTTGAACTACAAGGTTGGTAGGTCAAACTCACCAGCCGCTCCTCAGAAAATCCTATATAGAGTTGCTATGAGTTAAAACTGACCTGACAGCATTTAACAACAATACTTCTTATATGATTCAGAGGCGAGTTAGCCAAAACGCTTCTCAATGTTTGTCCTATAAACCCAGTACAAGGGTACATTACACAGAGTCTTGGTATGGCACTGTAGGATAAATGCTGGACCACAAGGTCGGTTTGAACTGCAGGTCAGCAGTTCAAACCCACCAGTCGCTCCTTAGAAACTATGAGTTGGAACTGACTTGACGGCACTTAACAACAACAGGGCACAGGACTTAGGGAGCAGAGGGGCTGGTGTCCAACCTCTAATGGGTCTCTAGGCTTAGTGCCGTAGTGCAGGGCTCAGTCCCAAAAACTGTGCAGCAGTCTTGGCTGAACTTTCTCTCTCAATTCTCAAATTCCCAAACAGAAAAACTGTATTCTAAAAGAACTATGTTGTTGCTAAGTGCTGGCAATCCATTTCTGATTCATAGCAACCTGGTATAAGGTTTCTGAGGGGTGACTGAAGAGTTTGAACCACTGACCTTGTGATCCAGTGCTTTATCCTACACCAGAACTCCAACTATAGGCAGCAGAAATTAGAATAGTAAATATATTTACACTACAGTGCACATTTGCTATAAGAGTGATATGTAAGTTTTAAGTGCTAAACAGTTGGTTCTGATTGATAGCAATCCTGTATAGGGTTTCCAATGAGCAGATGGTGGGTTTGAACCACCGACCTTGCAGTTAGCAGTCCAGTGCTCATCCTACCTAGAACACCACACCAGGACTCTGATACATACTTGATCACTAGTGTAGCAGACCCAACACCCATCTAGTCTGTAGTGCTATGGTGGCTCGCATGTTGCTTTGACATTGGCAACTATGCATGAACATTTCTGCAAGGTTGCCCATGGTGAGCAGGCTTCAATGAAGCTACTGGATTAAGACAAAGTAGGAAGAAAGCCCTACTTGCTTTCAACTTCTAAGAATTAGAAAACCTTATTTATCACAACAGAATTTTGTCCAGTTCGTTTGCATTTGCACCTGTAATCAGGTAGGATCAATTGCTACATTGTTGTTAAGTGCCACTGAGTTGGTTCTGACCCACAGTGACCCTGTATAGGGTTTCCAAAGAGCAGCTGGTGAGCTTGAACCAACGACCTTGCAGTTCAAATGGCTTTGCGGTCTGGCGCATTAACCCACAGCGCCATACCAGGACTTCAGGATCATTTGCTAGAGGGGGATATAATGTTTGAAGTCGAGGGCTAGAAAGGGTAAGAGAGGACCCAGCGCTGGACTTGAACATGCTGGCTACTGTGAGGATGATGCAGGACCAGGTAGCATTTCATTCATCATGAGTCACAATCGACTTCATGGCTGTTTTCTCTCTATAAATATCATATGTACATCTACCCAGATCCATATAAAACATTAACATAATTAAATGCAGAGGAGATCACAGTGTTGTTTACAAAAATGGATTTATTAAAATGCTCATAATTATAAAAGAATATTAAAATGCATAGGAATGAACTTTAACAAACATTAATTACAAACTTTACATCTTATGCCACAGTGCATGAAAAGAAGCCCCATGAATAGTTCACTTTAGTTCAGCTGCTCACGCATTTGAACTTTCTAAACATCCTGAACTATGAACAGAAGAACACGGTACAAAAAGGGTTCCAACAACAGAGCACATTCTGCCCCCTATTGTGAAATGATGTTTTCTGAAATTCAAGATACACATGCAATAAAAAAGAAAAAGAAAGAACTTGGTGGTAAATAGTTTACAAGATGGTTTCATTTCATTTTAAACAAAAAATGGCAGTTTTCCTTTTCTAATGACATATCTAAGCTACTGATGGATAGTTAAAGCAAAATCCCCTGAGTACTTGGGTCTAATGTTTCAATCTATTAAAACCCACAGGAATCACAGAAGGATGTAAAACTACAATTTCTCTAGTGGTTAACACTGGGCAGGGCTAGGACGATTCTCCCTTGGTGGGTCAATTTCCCCAGGGTTTCTGCCCACTGTGGCCTGCAGACAGAGCCTGCATTTATTTTCCTTCATCGCCGACAAGTCAGTACTAGACTCAGAGTGCCAGACATCCCATTTGCTGCCTTCAAAAATGTAGAGCTCTTTCTCTCCTGTCCACAGCAGCACAACTTAAGTGAAGAAGATGATTTTCTCAGCTGGGGTCATGAAAACCTGAATCCACTGTCCTTCTTAAACTCTATCCTCTATACTGAGAGATAAGGTAAAAATATTTCCTTTTTAATGCTGATGTAAACAGTACATGGTTGTTCAATCAAACACTAGGAGACCGTTAGACACATGGGAGAAGAGGTAATGCGAGCCAAAGTGACACCCACTTCCGGGAACACTATCATCCACAGTGGCACTCCCTGTTCAGGTTGTGCAGAATGAGAAAATGCTTCCTCTAATGGGAAGAGCTTCATCTATCCTACCCAGGGCAGTTAGACCTCAGGTGGACTGCCTTTTTCACTTTCTGACCACATCATTATCAAGAAGGTTAGTGAAATGTTGTCTCTGATCCACTGGGTCATTCCAAAGTCCAGAACACTGCTTTGATGAGCCCAACATAAATACTGCTTTTAAAAGTGGATGGCAGGCATTTGAAATTGTGGTCTGGAGTTACTCTATTGTAACCAGTTTCTAGAATCGGATTAGGGAAACATGTTCCATTTTCCTTTGCTGTTGGGATTCTAAGTAGATTGACTCTGACAGCACCTGAGCATTTAACAGCATCACAGTGGTTGAGACTCACCCACAAGAAAGTGGAGCAAATCACCTTCTTCACCTACGCTTAGACTGATCTGTCACCAGGCAGGGTGAGAGAGGCAGACAGTGTGCCTTCTCCAGAGTCTACCAGGGGGCCAGGCACTTAAAAGGCTGCCAAGAGTAGCAAAAGCTGCTAAATTGAACAAAACTGAGAGCAAAATATACATTGTGGTACAAAAGTTCAATAGAAAGCAATCTCCACATGATGTTAGGGCACATTTATCAATCTAGTCTCAGTTTTTACCCTTAATTGCCTGATTGACTTTAAAGGCGACTAGAAAGTCAAATCAAATCCAGAGTCTCTTTTCTGGATTAGCAATAATTTGGGTAAACCAGTTTCTACCTCCTCCCACCCTCAACACTCCTTTAGTACACACATACAATTACATTACTTGATGCTGAGCTGGGAGTAAGAGATGAGGGTCCAAGGAAGCCACATTCACTAAGGCAGATGCTTTGGTATGTTGATTGATTTGGCATATAGAAATAATGCAAAGTCATGCAGAATCCCTGAAGAAAGGTGTTCCCCACACAAGAAAGGTGGGTTACAATTTGGGCACTTGTAGATCTTTCAATAATGCACAGGGTCTTCATGCCACATTGACAATGCAGTGAGCCATTCATGAGGATGCTTGGTGGCCTGTAACACTGCATATCCGGTATCCATTGATGGGAAACTGATGGGCTTACTTTTGCCAGACTATTACATTGATAAAAGTGCAATTTTAATCACTTGATTTCATTTCCCCCCCAAGAAGCCACATATCTCTTTAGAATAGAAAAATTATCCTGGTCAATGTGAGTTATAATTCTATTGAAATCTATAACCTTCCCCCACTTTTATCATCTTATTCCTTTGAGGTGTGCAAAGCAGTCAACATTGATTAGGCACAGAACATTCTAGCAATCTTCCTGGAAGATCAAAGGTGTCATTGTGGATTAGTACAAATATGCTTCAAAACCTTGCTATCTTCACTCCAATCCATTGAGTATTTCTTTGAGACAGAGACAGATCAACACGAAGACTGAAACTATTTCCTCTTGTTAACTGTGGCTTCCCTTTCTGTAGAGGTGTGCGAAATACACCTAAATGTTGTGAGCTTTTGAGTCTACTTGCCTCTTAATACGATGAATTCTGACTTAGTTATTTTTAATCATGAAAAATCTAGTAAGTCAGTGGCATGTCTAATCTTTACGATGGTACAATACAGGACAAGTAACTCTAGAACAGACCTGGCAAAGTGAAGAAATGAAACACTGTCTGTGGTGCTTAAGAGCAGAGAAGAATGAAAGTAACCAAACCTAGTTGTTGTTGTTGTTGTTAAGTGCCGTCGAGTCGGTTCCGACCCATAGCGACCCTGTACAGGTTTCCGAGGGTGTAAATCTTTACGGGAGTAGAAAGCCTCATCTTTCTCCCGCGGAGCGGCTGGTAGTTTCGAACCGCTGACCTTAAGGTTCGCAGCCCGATTCGTAACCACTACGCTACCAGAGCTAGAGGGGGGAGAAATAAGAATCCATCTGCTTTGAAGGGATGGCTTTAAGCTCACTGACTTTTCTGTGTTGCTAAAATTCCAATTTTTACCAAAAAGTAACATTTTAGCTTTTCCAGGTGATTGGTTTTATGCTCTTCTTGATCCAAGTTGTACATTTTCTAGTTCCTGCATCGGTAGCTGAAACTGAAAAATAATCTACATGGAAACAGCCATAGTTAAGACTCATATTTGCAAAGTGATTGAACTTAAACATTCTCATTAGTGATTCATAATGTATTTTCACAAAGCTAAATTCCTTAAAGTGCTTCTCAGACCATAAAGCTCTTATTCTGATTTTTGTCGTAAATTGTTATCTACTGCTTCTATCATCTTCTCAGCTATTCCCCCCATATTCTTTTTCACGTCTTTGAGGTGATTCTCATGAAGAAGCTTTTGGGTTAGGTATTTTTCTCTCTTTATTTTGCTCTTCGTTCTTTTCGATACATCTGGAATTGCATATGAAATGAAAAATTTCACAGAGTAGATGACATGCTGAGGGAAAGAAGAAGAAACAGGTCAGTCACAAAGAAATGGAGGGAAACAGAATTCATTCTCATTCATTGTTTGCTTGTCGTTCTAGTAGTCTATTGGAACAAGGCTGTGGCTATGCTATTTGTATAACCAACCTCTTATGCCACAGTGTGTAATGAAGGGTGTGCCTCTGCCTAGGAGTAGCATTGTGTTACTTTACAGGCTTAAAAGAATACTATTTGATATGTAAGGAGCCCTGATGGTATAATGGTTACGTAATCATCTGCTAACCACAAGACCTGAAGTTTGAAGGTGATCTGCTCTTATATAGATTACAGCCCAGGAAATTCTACCAGGCAGTTCTGGTGTGGTGCCACAGGACAAGCACTAGATCACTAACCTCAAGGTCAGTGGCTGAAACCCACCTAGAAAGGTCGCTATGAGTTGGAACTGACTCAACGGCACTTAATAGTAACTATGTAGGGTCGTCATGAGTCAGAACAGACGACAGCACACAACATTTGATATGGAGGAAAGAGTACAAGGGGGCTTCAAAAAGTTCATGAAAAATGTAATGAAAAGATAATAGAATTATTCTATGAGCTTTGTGGTGTGTACTTATATTTCTAGTATATATGTTGTTGTTGTTGTTAAGTATGTGGAGTCAGTTCTGACTCATAGCGATCCTGTACAGGGTTTCTGAGGCTGTAAATCTTTATGGGAGCAGAATGCCTCATCTTTCTCCTGTGGAACAGCTGGTAGTTTCAAACTGCTGACCTTGAGGTTCGCAGCCTGACTCATAACCACTACGTATTAGTTATAAATTAGACAAAATAAAACATGTACCACTCAACCCACAATTAAACCTAAGAACTAGGACACTGATAGTACTCTGGCATTTTTTGTGGTTCATTTCCTAAAAGCCCCAAGGATTAGGAAGGAGAAGAGAAGGAATGAGGTGGCAAAGAAACTGAGATGAAATGGCTACTGAGATAGGAGGAAAGCGAAAAGATTGTGCCCTGGGAGCTGAGTGAAGGAAGGGTTTCAAGGAGGAGGGATCGGCTGCTTCAAATGCTGCCGCGAAGGTTTCAGGTAATGTGAGGGTGCAGAATTGATTGATTCTAAGACTTACCAACAAGATGGCCACTGGCAATTTTGGCAAGCGTAGTTACCATGTGGTGGAGGGATGAAAGCATGAGTAAAAGAATAATACGAAAACAAAGGACAAGAAAAATTGTGGACAGCAAGCATTGATAAATCTTTTCAAGGTGTTTGCTGAACAGAGGAGTGGTGATAAGTTAGATCAAGAGAACTTTACTTTGAGCTGACACAGATATTGCCATGTTAAATGATGGTGGGCATTATACAGTAAAGAGGGGCAAATTCAAGTGGAAAGAGAAGTTTGGTCCCCCCCCCCTTTCTTTTCATCTACTTCTGAGGTAAGCAGTATTTATAAGATAAGTAGAATTTCAGTGTTCAGTCATCCTTGCATTTCTGGGAAAAGGCAATTTTCATGATGTTAATGCTTAAAAATATATTGCTGGATTCAGTTTACATCTATTAGAAAGATCTTTGCATCTATGCAGTTTTGCAAATATTCCTTTCTCTTTCTGTTCTTGTGAGGTTAAAAGTATTTAGGCTACTCTTGGTCTCATGCAATGAGTTGGAGGGTATTTCTTCTTTTACTGATTTCTGGAAGAGTTTTGTTGAAGACTGAACAAAAAGTTTAGTATAACTACCTTATAAAACCATGTGGTCTTATGTTTTCATTATGAGAAGATTTTCAGTTACAGAAGGTTTTACGTAAGTCTATGTTTACAGTTATGTTCTTAAGCATTTTGAAGATATTAGACTACTCTCTTCAGGCTTCTACTCTGTTTTTAGAAAAGTCTGTGGGATAATGTAATGACCTCTAAGGTCAATTGGAGCCACAAGGTTGGTGGTTCAAACTCACCAGCTGATCCTGAGAAACCCTATACAGGTTCGCTATAAGTCTAAACCAACTTGACAGCACTTAATAACACTGTCAGTATAATTTTAATTTCTTTGTTGAACATCTGTCATTTTTCTCTGGTTACTTAAGATCTCATCTTTGGTGTGTTGGATTTTCATTATGATATGTTTAAGTGTGGATTTATGTTTTATTTATTCTCCTTGATAGATGTACTTTCTGCTCCAGGTTTTATATCTGTTCTGAAAACTTCATAGCCCTTAGCTCATTAGCTCTTTAAATATTGCCTTTCCTGTATTCTCTATTCCTTCTAATTTTTTTTTTTAAAGTTACTCCTCCTATTCTGTCTTTTATATATTTAATCCCTTTTTCATGTTTTCCATTTTCTTTCTTCTTTGGGATGTATCATTGTTGTTGCTGCTATGTGCTGTCGGGTTGATTCTGAATCATAGCAACATTGTATACGTTTTCCAAGGAGTGCCTGGAGGGTTTGAACTGCTGACCTTGTGGTCTGCAGTACAGTGCGGATCCTACAGTGCCTGGGAGTCCCTGGGATGTATTGTTGTCGTTGTTAAGTGCAGTCGAGTCATTTCTGACCCATAGCGACCCTGTACAGGGTTTCCGAGGCTGTAAATCTTTACAGGAGCATAAAGCCTCATCTTTCTCCCACGGAGTGGCTGGTAGTTCGAACTGCTGACCTTAAGGTTTGCAGCCCGATTTGTAACCACTACACTACCAGAACTCCTTTGGGATGTATTAGGGGTAATTTATTGAGATCAAACTTCTAATTCACTACTTATCTCTTCAGATTTACCTAAACTTCTGTTTAACT